GTGCGGTGACTGACTGCCACACATACTCTTCAGAACATTAGATTCATCCGCGCTGGAGCACAACCCACGCAAATAGATAATTCCGCACACAGCTGCAATTCCAGGTTTTCAAACAGAGATGGCGACAAAGAGGCAAAACTTACGGACTGCAGCTTTAACTTTAGTTTAGTTTAGTTAAAGGTAGGGTAGGCGATTTCGGAGAACCTAGCAATAGCAAGTTATGCCGAGTTCACACTGCACGATATTAGCCCGATTTTTCACTCGCCGCTATTGTGAAGTCATGCAGTGTGAAACCCCCTGTCGCCGATCCATCGTGCAATGTGAACACAGCAGCAACTGAATGCTGCCCCAGATAGTCACGCAGTGTGAAAACAATGGCTATCCGACGAGTTTGAAAATCGTGCAGTGTGAACTCGGCATTAGCTTTGACAGCATAAGATCCCACCCTCCCTGCAAATCACTCTCCAAAGACACGCCTCTTCTAAAACACATGAATGCGCACAGCGACACAATGAGAGACAGCATTTGTGAAAGGTTGAATGCAACAATGTCACATTACCTCATCTCATTCACCGGTGAGAAAACATTACAGTACAAAGCATATAATTTTACAATAATAACGGCCTCTATTCTGGCTAAGTCTGCAATAGCGTAATGAAACGCGCTGATGACGCATCATGTCTGCGCAAACAGGGTTGATAGGCAGGTGGGACAGCCAATCGTAGCCCTTGGCCCGAAGAGATATGATTGGACGATCATTTTATGGTCCTACGCCATTGACTGAACATATAAATACGTATATTTAGACCACTTAACTTAGCGATTGCTATCAAGACTTTCAGTCAGCATAACCAAATAATTTTTTTAACCAAATCATTTATCCTGCCTTTGCATTGTCCAGTTTTCTCTCAGAAAGATGATCTGAGTTACTATTGTAATTCTCGATGCAGCATGAATAACATACAATGGTAACATTTTTCACAATCATGACACTTAAAGCAGCACTATGTAACTTTCGGCACTCTAGCGGTTAATAAACAGAACTGCACACATCCCGCGGAAGAACATTCCAACCGGAGCTACTTCTCTAAGTTTATGTCTATGGCGATTCACGCAGGTATGTGTTACTCCGCAGCGGTGACGACCCGACCAGGCTACAATAGTCCAAATATAAGTACTTATTATAAGTGTACCGTAGTGATTCGGAATAAGACAAAAACGCGGTTTGGACGATGAATTCATGATGTACTCGCTCATTATATACATTTTGCACATTTTGAACAGAGAAAAAGTTACATAATGCTGCTTTAAGAAAACAGGAACAGAAAATGTCTATAAACAGTAGTATTTTACTGTCATAGAGCTTGCAAGGAGATGGAAATCTTGTGACTAATTGTTTATTGCCTTGCTTTGCTTAGACTGATCACATTTCAATGTGTAACATGAGACACATACTGCTACTTTGGAAGCCACCCATGTTGCAACCCAAATAGTAGTTCGTATGAATATTTTGCAAGAACTAACCAGAGTTGTCACCATCTTATACCGCTGTATTGTTGCAATAAGCATCGCACAGTCTAAGAACTAACTGCATGCCTGCCATCTGACATCACTACTGACCAATTTACCCAAGCTATATCCAATAGTGAGGTCAGGGCTTAATTTTAAATTGAGGCAATATTTATGAGAAGACATGAGTCTAACAGTATACAAATCCACAGCTCAAACATACCAGCAGTTCTAAGACTTAAGTGGGTAATGGGGTGTTCTCGACTGATTCTGTTTCTTTTTGATATCCAGATATGACTTGAGACACTCCTATAATGCAAGGGATTTTTATTATTAGGCAGGTAACATGATTTGATGTATGTCCAGCATGCAACCTACGAAAACTCATCTCAACATTATCACAATGTATAACTGTTTAAAACAATTTTTTAAATTAAAAAGATCCTTTACAATACCTAATGAATGTCTTAAACAGCTAACCTGAGTGACATCTGAGACTTGGTATATGTAGGTAAGCAGTGTGTGCTGATAAGTAAAGCTTGAAGAGGTGGTTTATGTGGATCATATTCATAACGATATGGTAATAATATTTTATTTACCACCTTACTATTTCTCAGGGTTTTATATATTTTGTACTGATAGAAGCATAACATCCTGTAAATCTATGAGATTATGAAAGAAAAAAATTCAACAGAACTCGGTGGGTGTGTATGTAGGGAGGTTATGAAATAGGTTATAAATAAGTGTGTAAATGTGAAAGTAGTGATCTCTGTAGAAGGCGTCTAAACGCAATACTAGTGTGTCGGTGCTATGCAGAACCACAGCGACTCCAGTTTAAACTCCACCAGCCTGACTACAGCTAACCTGGTCAGCAGTGGCCTGATGGGTCTTTGCTTCATGATTGGAGTTCCTGGTAATATTGCAGTAATTCTTTTCATACTTCTTCGTTTCAAAAAGGACAATTTCACCGTTCATCTGATGCTGAATCTGGCAACTGCAGACATCTTGTGTTTGATAACCCTGCCTGTGTGGATCTACAGTGAACTAGAGAACATTGACCAAGTAACCTGCAAGTTCTTCACAGCACTCGTCTACTGCAGCGCATACTCAAGTGTGATAACAGTAACTCTGCTGAGTGTGTATCGTTGTTTACGGATTCGACATCCACAGTTGTGGTCCAGAATGAGCAAGAGAAGAGAGAGAGCGCTGCTGATCAGCGGTTGGGCTCTGGCACTGCTTTTCTCTTGTCCTGGTGTACTTACACAAGAGATCGTTCAAGTTGAATCCAAAATGGAGTGTGAAAGAATCCTGGAATCAGAAGCCATACTTATTGTTGCTCTACTGGAGTCACTGCTTGGATTTTTTCTTCCTTTCACAATCATGTTGACTTCATATTATTGCTTATACAAAACAGCCACACAGGGAGCATTCAGACACAGACACAGACCGACTAAACTTGTCACACGGATTGTCATAGTTTTCTTAATTTTTTGGGCTCCTCACCAAATAATAAAATTAGAGGAAATTTGTGCAGCATTTTTAGGCTCAGAGCCAGTTCTATCTTTAATCGGTGACATTGCTGGAATTCTTACATTCATCAACAGTTGTGTGAATCCATTCCTCTATGCGTTTTCCTCAAAGAGTTTACATAAACGCAAACAGCCAGTGGAACCTGGGGTAACTAAAGGCTCACAACATTTTGAGAGGGATCATTCCATAGCTGTGAGCAGCTCACTATTAAAGCCTAACACCTTGGACTAAAGAATTATGACATATCAAAATATGCAGTAGAAACTGGACAATGATAGAAGCACCTTTTAAAAATGCATTTGGATGAATTTCAGATAACTAAATATGTAGCACTTTTGAAAGATAATTTGATGAGTTAATTACTTTAATGTATCTCTGATGCAGTGAGAAGAGATCCAGGCAAAGTCTGTCTGTAAAATTATATTTTATTAAAATCAATGATTACAGATGTAAAATATGAAAATTAAAAATGGACAATATCCAAACTGAATATATTCTGCTGAAATTCTAAGAGAATAGACTAAAATCTGAGTATAGTAATCTTCAAGAGCTAAAGAGATGAAGATCTTCAAAGCATGCAATAAGAGAAAAAGGTAAAGAAGCCAATGTTATGAGCAATATACAGTATAGACTAGAGACTTACATCCTCTTACAGCATCATGGAATGTTTATGTCTGATTGATAAAATGTCAAATGTATTTCATTATCTACGTGTTGTCAAATATTCCCCTTACCTAAGGTGAATTTAGTTCAGGACTAGGTCATCTACTAGGTAGAAGTAAGATACAAATGGAGACATGGGTTGCAGTTTTACATCTTTCTAGCAGAAACAACAGAGTTAAGCAATCCTCTTGCAAATACCAACTCTTGGGAAATAACTTCTAGTATCAAAATAAATAAATTAGCAAACATCCTTGCATATAAATACTTTTGCAGAGAGTAAGTTTCCAACATCCTGGTCAAATATTCCCCCTACCTAAGGTGAATTTAGTTCAGGACTAGGTCATCTACTAGGTAGAAGTAAGATATAAATGGAGACATGGGTTGCAGTTTTACATCTTTCTAGCAGAAACAACAGAGTTAAGCAATCCTCTTGCAAATACCAACTCTTGGGAAATAACTTCTAGTATCAAAATAAATAAATTAGCAAACATCCTTGCATATAAATACTTTTGCAGAGAGTAAGTTTCCAACATCCTGTCCAAACATCACTTAAGCATAACAAAATGTACCTATATGTCAATTGAAGGAAATATACTACATCAATGGAATATGTGTACACCTAGAATTATGAATATAAATGCATAATACTCACTGAGTAACTGAGTATATGAGTAACATTATACAGTAATATGAATATAATGTAATAAAACCATAAAAGAATAAATCATAATGAATATACTGTATGAATGAATATGAAAAATAAGAAAACATAACCATATTGGAAATTCTGATACACCAATCCCTAATTGCATCTAATCACCACTGTAATGCAAAATCGATTATCTTTATGAATTACATTATCAATTTGAACTGCAGTGCATAAATGAAAGTAATGTTTAGATGCAAGCTATTTTTGTTATTCATCAATCATTTTGTCACCTTTTAAGTATTATAATTTTAAGATGCTTCTTTATTTTAAAATGCATTGTTTTGTGATTTGATGTATCAGTCATTAAGCACTTGTTGTGTGAACTGTTTTTAAGGACTGAAAGGGCTGTATAGGTATTTGCTGCTAGCATTTAGTACTGTACAAGCTAATGACAGTACAGTAGCTTGCTCTTCTGTATGCCATGTGTGCAATAATGTTGAAAAAAGTACCTATTAATTATCTATTATTATAAAGAACACTATTTTAAAAAACAGCTGAGCTGTTGTCATGAGTACAACAGTATCAGCTGAGTTGCTGTTTCTGTGTGTTTTTATACTTTGTTCCTGTTTCCAATCAGACCACATTTCTCAGAACACAGTGAATAAGACTGATATGGTTTGAGATTATTAATAAAAGCCTTTACATTCTTTGAAAAACCGTTTTGTTTTTTTATTCCCAGTTCTCTGAAACTCTTCCTCCTACCTTTTGTCAGAAGTCTCTGAAATCTAAATGGACAACAGCCAGAAAGCATGGGGAATAGTTTATAAAATAAAAATCCATATGAAAACCATCTCCTGAGAATAGAAACATATCTGAGAAGGGTTTTGGGAATTGCATAGCTGCGTAGTTGTAATCGAAGTGATTTCCACAGCAAATGCAAATTGATTTTTAGGTCAAATTAAAGACATGAAATCATCGTATTAGAATGATTTCTGAGGGGGTCATGTGACATGGTAGACTGGAGTAATGACTCCTGAAAAATTAGCTTTGCCATCAGGAATAAATTACTCATTTTAAAATAAATTCAAATAGGAAAGTATTTCATAAGTATTCCATATTTCACAATATTACTGTTTTGAACGCTAGAGTATGGCACTTTCAGACATAGAGTAAATATCATTAATAACCATGCAATTTCCATCAGATACTTAAGAGCTGTTATTGCCAGCTCAATGCATGTCAATGTGATGCAAAGATTAAGAATTACAATGTGTCCTTTTCACTCATATCACCTACCCAAAGGTGACCCTCATGTGGACTAATAGGAGACAACTGAAGACGGACCGGTCAGACCGCACTCAGCTGCACACACACAGTGACTTTAAGGGGCCTGTTAACTTTTATGAGGGTTTTAAAACCGTTTTATTGCTTTTCTCAAGTGGATGGCTTGATTTATAATATGACCGTGCAGAAGTGTACATTCATTTGGATAGGTACTGTACAAAAAAAAAAAAAATGCAGCAAGACTAAAGGAAGGGCATTACATTCTTCAAAAGTGCCAACCTTCTTATAGATGGAGACATTTTTTAAATGGTCTGCCGAAATCAGCAAAACAAGCTTCCCATATTTGCATATGATAGATTTTGGCTTAAGAACTTGTAATTTAGCCCTTAAACACCAGTGTGCAATCTTGTTTCCATCCATTCAAAGCTTCTATTAGGCCTCAGGGGCAGATACAGATTCTTCAGTCTCTCAGTCTGGTCTCTGTGTTCAATATATTGTGAGTTTGGGACTCATTCCTCTGCTGAGACCTCTGATCGCTCTGACAAACACTAAGCGGAGGCTGATGGCAGTGGACGGCATGATAAATAAGGATCTTGGTCCAAACACCCACTCACTCGGATAAACAAGATTTCTGCTTAGCTTTTTCTCTGGGATGTACCCTAATAACTATCTATCACATCTTTTATGTTTCTGTCAAAAGGTTTGAGGTTTTCAATGCAGTTGACCGAGAGAAAAGGGCAGAAAATTGCAATTAAGTTAAAACAAGGACTGTTTATTTTTCAATATATATTTTTCTTCAATACTAATGGACTGAACATACTGTTTAAGAACATGGTGAAAACATGAAAACATTTTTCATACCATTCAAACATACATAAAGGCAAGTGATACATTATACATTAACTAGTAGTCAAAAGCTCTGAAGTAAACTGACAAAAGGTTCAAAATGAAAAACAAACTACATTAAGTGAAGATCAACTTGCACACTACATAACAATCAATGCTTGCAAAATAAAAACACTTGCAAAACAGCTTCTAGCTTCGCATTTAAGTTCATAACCGACAAAACTACAACACTCTATTCGACCACATCCTGAAATAATGACATGCAGTTAGTTCAGTACCTTACTGGATGATGTTAGGGGATTTTGACCTTAAATTAATCATTTAAAATGAGGCATGTGGTTCAAGTTTAATGGTTCTTGCTCAGTAAGCTGTGGTAGGTAAACTGTTTTTTTTTTAAATAGCTGCAAATGTGAGCAAGGTCCTGAAAGAATTTTTTTTTTTTATTTATATGCTATATAATATATTCCAGACAAAAACAATCCTATGTTAGCATGACTGGGCTTGTATGGCAGTCTAAGTAAGGTTGACAGGAGTGTGTGGTGCGTTAGCTGACAGAACACGGGTCATCTTTACTGGGCTTCACCTCTCCCTGCAGCAGCTGGATCATTACTGCCTTGGTGAGGTAACTGGACGTGCCTCGTTTCCCCAGGGCTGGTGTGTTGTAGAAGGCCTCCATGTTGTCCTGTGGATTATATTTACCTTAGTAACATCACCACAGAATGCTAATGCAAGCACACATGGTATTCAAATTCATACTGGCTGCTGTGCTTTAAAATAGATCAAATATTAGGACTCTCAATCTTTTAATTGCTTGATATGCTGGTTAATGAAATGCGCATATGAAAATTTATTGTGAAAAGCCACCAAATGAAGATAATTCAAAGACATTACATAATTGTTGGAAGGTGAAAAGCAGTGAATAGTCATTATAAAAAAAGTGTATTTAATCAATATATTGTTTGTTTTATAAAAAAAAAAAAAAACAGTACTGTTCAAAATAAGTTTTTTTTTCTTTTTTAAAGAAATTGATACTTTTATTTTGCAAGGATGCAGTAAATTGATCAAAAAACAGTAAAGGAATTTATAATGTTACAAAAGATTTCAAATAAATGCTGTTCTTTTGAACTTTCTATTCACCAAAAAAAAAAAATAATTAAAAAAAATCGCATACTGTTTTCAAATCAGCATATTGGAAATTATTTCTGAATGATCACGCGATGCTAAAGACTGGAGTAATGGCTGCTGAAAATTCGGCTTTGCCATCACAGTAATAAATTACATGTTAAAATTTGAAACTTTTTTTTTTAATATTTCACGCTATTACTGTTTTAATAGTATTTTGTTCAAATAAATGCAGCCTTGTTGACCGCAAGTGTTTTTAAAAACATTTAGGAATTTTATTTAACCCAAACTTTTGAATAGTAGTGTAGATTGATCCAAGCATTTGATAACATTAACTGAACTTAATTAAATCTGCCCTCACCTGTTTCTCAGATCCATCCAGTCTGCTGCGGTCTTTCTGAAAGTCAGCAAAGGTATCCTTAACTAAGCGGTCCAAATCCACAGCCTCCTGAAACTCCAACTCTGGGTTTCTTTCCAGCACAATTGACACCACCATCAACAGCTGCATTCAGGTCATCAAAGACACAAACACAAACAACAGGTAAATGATATGTCCGATTAGTGTTATAAAACATGTTAAAGCTGTGGCAGGGACAAATTGTGCCTCACCTCCACAATGATCTGCCTGTACTCAGGCAAAACAATGTTCTTCAATGTGTCTTCCACCAACAGAGAAAAATTCATTTCATACATGGTCATATCTGATAGAGTAGGTTGCTGCAAAAAAGTGAAAGATTGAAGTGGTCATCTCAAAATGCAGATATTCTGAACACATTTAAAATGATCCTTTAATGATGCAATTATTTATCATCTATTCAACTATGCTTAAGACTTCCAAAAAATGTTTAAATGTTACCTGAGGGAGATGTTTTCCTCCAACCGTGATGCCATTATGTGTTCTCTCCAGGATTTGCCAAACACGGTCATAGAAGCCAAGAGGAGTGTGGTTGAGGGAGCCATCGATCTGACGTCTATTGAGCCATGATCTATAGAAGTACCGAAGATTAAAATGAATCCTCAAAACCACTGCAATGGAGAAATCCTTGAACGCTAGCTCTGGAGCAGGATTCTTTTGGGAAAAATGTTCTTTTTCTTTTTCAAAATTTGAGGTCAGTATGATTTTTTTAATGCTCAACGAGGCTGCAATTATTTGATCAA